ACAGAATACACAATTTTTACAAATTTGGGAAAATTTCAATGTTTTCAACATCTCAAGGCTCAGAGGCACCATACAAATCTTTATTGCAATTCTTGTGCTGAAGCAAGATGTCTGGAGCTTTACATCAATTGCCTGAAAAAATGAAGTCCAAAAAGTAGTTATGACAGAGTTGACAAGATGAAGGAGGCCTAAAAAGGAGCAATATTAATTTTTCACTGTTCTATAAGTAACATAAATGCAATAAACACCACAAATTCTAGACTTTGATAAGAAAATATTGAAAATTAAGCCGACATTTACACATCTACACCATTTTTATATTAGGGTGTGGTCTCATTGGCCTGACATGTCTCTGGGTTCTAAGTTTGACTTTAAACAAAAAGGCTTAGAAATCTTTGAAATGTACAAAATAGCTATTTATTAGTGAAAACTAACATTCCTAGCTGTAATTCAACCACAAATTCCAATTACTATCATTTAATTGTCAACACTGGTGCAATTAAATCTCTCAAAACACATTAATAAAAAAGGGTGGGGTGGGGCATTTATAGCCTCTCCTAAGGAAATGGTGGAGTTAAAAATGGCTAGAAAGAGTGGAATATTGCTTTCTACGTGAAGGAAAGGCAAGAATTTAATGTTACAAAGAAGAAAAAAATGCTTGTTCTGGGTAAAACAGTAGCAAAATTGAGCCAACCCCTGTTTTGAACATTTTGTACAAACCCATCTGCTGTACATTATTAACTCAGTTTTACCAATTTTCAATTTCTGTAGGAAAGCTGGGGCTATTTCTAAACCTGATAAACTTGTAGATCCCATCTAAGTTATATTAGCAATGAAAATCAGATGCATTTTAGACATTTTGACTCATTGAAATGGGGGGAATCCAAAGATTTTCTGTGAATATTCCTGATTTTTAGACAAAATTTGGTGAAATAACAATACTGTTCACTGTATCTGTGCTTTCTGAGGTTGAATAAGCCAAAATTGGGCATTAAAATATTTTTCTTACTCTTAGAAATTAAATAAAAACTGAAAATTGAGAAATTTGCAGTAAAATCACAATTTTTCTCCAAATTTTGATTTTTTTAAATTTAACTTTTTTTTAGTTTTTCAGCAGTCAAAATATTTTATTCATATTTTCTGAGAGTTTAATCTTCATATTTTTAAAACTAAGGCATATCAGTCTCAGCCTGTCACACATAGACAGGCCACAGATCACTAAACATTTGCCCATTGACTTTAATGTTAATTCTCGTCTCTTAGACCGGCTTTAACTTTTTCCCAAATTTTCGTTGGGTAGAACGCTTTCTACCACAGATGGAGCAACATGTGGCAACCTCTTGCCCAAAAGCACGTATGAGGTTCACCATGGAAAACTTGAGATACACAAGCTGGAAGTAGAGACAAGAAAACATGCAATTTTGGACCCTACATTTCAACCTAACCAACCTCTCAACTCTTGTATCCTTCCGCCTCAAAATCATGAATATTCACCAAAACCTGGTAGAAAATGTATTTTCAAACCCTTTTCTTCGATTCTACACCAAAAAGTCAACAAAAATCGCCATGCAAAAGGGGGAAAAAGGGAAAGGGAGAGAAAGACTAAAAATAACTTTTGCCCTACATTCGTGGGTGACGGCGTAGAAATATTTGGTGAGCTGTGTCCATTTGAGAACAAAGGGCGGCCATTTTGTCTGTCAGTTTTCGGCCGATTTTCACGAAATTCGAACTCAGTTATCCTTAGGGTCTAACGGTGATATAATAATAAGTTTTTCTTAATCGGATAAATTTTATGACCTCTATTGGGTCCACAAGCTAAAATCGCAATTTTTCGTACAATCAGGGGCCATAATTCAGAAGTAACATTCCGATATGCGCGAATATCGAAAGGAACCAAGATCTTTGGGTTATAAACTTACATTTCAAGATTCATCAAAATAGGATTAAAATTGTGACCTCTATAGGGTCCACAACCTTGATACACCAAATTTTTACGCTATTTGAGAACGAACGGCTGCTGTCAGTTGTGGGACGATTTTCACGAAATTCGAACTCAGCCGTCCTTAGGGTTTAACGGTGATATAATAATACGTTTTTTTAAATCGGATAAAAATTATGACCTCTAAAGGGTCCACAAGCTAAAAACGCGATTTTTCGTAAACAATCGGGGGCCTTATTTCAGGAAGTTACGTTCTGATATGCGCAAATATCGAAAGGAACCAAGATCTTTCGGTTATAATCATACATTTCAAGTTTAAACTAAATCGGATAAAAATTGTGACCTCTACAGTGTTCACAAGCTAAAAACTTGATTTTTCGTACAATCAGGGGCCATAATCCATGAAGTTACAGTCCGATACATTCCAATATCGAAAGGGACAGAGATCTTAGGGTGATAAACCTATATTTCAAGTTTCATTGAAAACGGATAAAAATTGTGATCTGGAGACTGTTCACAAACAATTGAAAAGGGCCTGTCAAACAAGGTTTATATGCTGAACTGTTAGCGGTAATCCAAACCTTAAATAATTATCCAAATGATCCCACAGCTTATGGTCTTATGAAAAAAGTTTCCACATTAAATGAAATTAAATGAAATTGGGTTTAACGTCCTACTGTTCTGCTCCTAACCTGGGCTAATGAAGACGGGCATACGCCATACAGTGTGCTATGAGGGAAATTTTGCCTGCGCAGGGGCGCTACGGCCTACTCTTTTATCGAATTCCAACTGCCAAGGGATCTTTTACATGCACGCCAATGTGTACACGGGACCTCGGTTTTTCGTCCCATCCGAACGACTTGACAGCTGTCCTTGTCAGGCCCTCCAACCTGCATCACTAACAAGTGGAAACCACGCCGGAAAATCTGAATGAACTTTCTCGGCCAATGCAGGGATCAAACACCTGACCTCCGTTTCCACATTAAGATTTTTTGGTTTATTATATATATTGAAGTATGTACTCCCTATATACTGGCTAATCTTAGCAAAATATTTCAAATGGGCTATGTTAATTTTTGACTAATCCAACCATCCATTGAGAGTTGTAAATTGAATTTAAGGGCATTACTTCATGGTACTGCAATTTTTGATAGTTTAGAACATGATCTCACACAAGGGAGATTATCAATTTTGCAAATAGTATTTAAACCTGGTGTCATAACTGACTTGATATCTTTTATAACTAAATATGTTGAAGCTTTGTGTACATATATTGACAGTAGATTTGAACAGTCAGATCTACATAAGTGTTTTTCAGTTTTCGATCCTAATCTAATTCCAGACCGTGCAGACACAAAATTTCATGAGTATGGTGTATCCGAGATAAAAACTCTTGTGGATCACTTTTATCCAGGTGATGATGGGGTCCAGGAAGAAACCATGGCTGAATGGCAAAATTTAAAATTTAAACTCATTGCCTGGAAAGGAGATATCCCAAGTACAGTCACTGCAATGGAATATATCCTTAATTATAAGCTCCTGAAGCAGAAAGACTCAAATGGTCAACTATATCCCCATTTAATTCACTTAGCTGAGATTATTGCTATTTTACCAGTTTCTAATGCCTGGCAAGAGAGAGGTTCCAGCAAAATGAAATTAATTAAAACTCGCCTAAAAAATAGATTAAAAAATGATGTAATGCAATCCATTTTTCAAATCAATCTAAATGGTCCTCAGTTGTTCTCTGATGATGCTGGTATATTAATCAATACAAGTGTTAAGACCTGGCTGGCTGCTAAGCACAGAAGAAAACTTCCCGAGGCAAGCCACATTTCTGCAACTGACAACCATTCGACTTCCGCGTACAACATTAATTTTTTGGTTAAAAGTTTAACTATCATTCCGCTAGAACATAACACTAACTTAAGAACGCGAAATCCCCTTCTATCCTGGATAAGAACGACATCTGAAATTGGTTGACTTATGCACGAAAGTTGATTGTTATATGCAAAAATCGAATTAAACTCGAAAATTCAACGTTCTGTCGGACCCCCCACTCCCATGGGAAGGGGGGCCCGACATAAGAATCAAGATTTAGAGTATCGAACACCGCTGTCCACTCATCTAGCATAGTAGAAATTTTGTACGCGATTTTCACAACCTGAACCTAGCTCCCTAACTATGTGGAATATATTATTATACAATGCATTGTAATGTATTTTAAATACAGGTGTGATGTCACCCTTTGATGTTGGCGTACCATTATTTCAAATAATCGTACGGACAACTTGCCAATCGTACATTATTTATACTAGTGAAATATTAGACTCGTGTGACGTATTTCACTGTAAAAACATGTGCGGAGTGTCTGTATTTTAAGTCGTTTAATGGTCTCGAGCTTAAGACATTGCTTAATATATTGTGAAAACACTCGGGCTTCACGGCCCTGTTGTTGTTACAATATATTACTTAATGTCTCGCTCTCGACCATTAAACAATACATAATAGCTGAAATACATGCAAGATAAAATTCATGGATATCTGGAACAATTTATGGTTGTTATTACTATACGTGTAGGTCTGTAGTCGCAAAAATGCATAATTTTTGTGTGCTATCTTCTTTCATATTAGTTCTCAGCTTGGCAATGGCATGATCACGTTTTTTAACTGCCCACAACGCCTAAAGCAATATAGCACACGTCTATGTTGCTATTGGTATTGAAAGAATACTTTTCAAGCTAATTCCTGTCGCCATTTTGGAGCCCATATTGGATCAAACGTTTGTGAAATGAATCGGAAAAGGTCCAAAATGAGTCGGCTGACCAACAAAACCTAAACTATGTTATATTACACGGTTCATTTTGCCAACAATGATAGTTGAGGTCAATTTCAGATCATTTTTGGCCTGGAGTTAGCCGTAGATTTCTGAGGTAGCAAACTACAAACATTTTCACTGGGGTCCCTTCTATCAGAAACCATCGCCAAACCTTGTTCCCCGAGAAATGGTCACGGATCTCGGGGGTGTGACCGACTAAAATTGATAATTCTCCCTTAAACATACCTGAAAAACCTGGAGTCAAGGCAGCCATCTTTTTAGCTAAATTTTCCTTGTTTACTTCTGTTTTCAAAGGTTTCAAATGTACATTAAATATAGATGCTCTGGAAAAAATTAACATCAGAGCAAGGATAACTGGGTAATTCGGTTTTAGATCATGTTTGCAAACAAAGGTGATATTCCAAATTGATTGTTTTGAGGTATGGCCCATAGAATGCTTTAGGAACCAGCGGCCAGGCAAGATACGCTTACATTTTGCAAGAGATGGATAAAGAACAAGTTAAAACAACCAGCGGCTGCCAGGCAGGATACGCCCACATTTTCGAGAGATGGATAGAGAACAAGCTAAAAATAAAGTGATTTTTCGTACAATCAGGGGCCATAATTCAGGAAGTAAAGGTCAGATATGAGCGAATATCGAAAGGAACCGAGATCTTTGGGTTATAAACTTACATTTCAAGTTTCAACAAAATCAGAGAAAAATTGTGACCTCTATAGGGTCCACAACGTTGATATACCATATTTTTACGCAATTTGAGAAAGAAGGGTGGCCATTTTGTCTGTCAGTTTTGGGCCGATTTTCACGAAATTCGAACTCAGCCGTCCTTAGGGTCTATCGGTGATATAATAATACGTTTTTTTAAATCGGATAAAAATTATGACCTCTATAGGGTCCCAGGGTATGAAATAAGCCTCTTATATGGTAACCTCAAAATAGGTTACGCTAATCTGCATCAAATTTGAACTGGTAACCTATAGGTTACGATGCCATATTTGTTATGAGCCGACCCTCGAATTAGCCTAGGGGGATTTGGGGCCAATTAAAAGATTAGCCAGCTACCCCTAAGCTTATTAAATCAGCAGGGCCCATATCCCTAAGCGAATTAGTGGATTATTGTTAATCCTAAAACTCTCTACAAAATTGCAAATAACTAAATAAAAAAATTTTTTATACAAAAATGTACAGATTGTCGTGTTCTTTCCAATGATATAAAATTCAATTGTACAAACTAACAATTACCGGTATATTACTATAAATAATATTGAAAAGTCAGTTCCACTAAAATTATGACTTTTCTCTGTCATAATAAACGTGAACATGTATCTCCTAAGATTTTACTTTTAAAAAAAGAACAGTGTTCAAAGTAAATATAAATATATAACTTTTAGAAAGAAATATCGCCCCAAATGACCGTCACTTCATCGCTATGTGACATTTCTGCCTTTGTTGGATATATGGTGGGAATTGTCGTCTTCTTTGCTTCATAGCATCGAAAATAAAAATATATAGTTGAAATCTTCGGCAATGTAATATTCCTCTATGTAGCTTGTATTAAATCCTAAAAGTTTTGATTCAATTTAGCTTTCCAAACTCTAGAATTATTATCCGTAAGTTTTGTGGTATCGTCTGTCTGGAAACGTATCCAAGATATGGCGGCCGACACGCTTGATCTCGGCTGCTTCGCATCATTCATAACGTCCCCCAAAAATAACAAATAGTTGATTTCTTCGACATTATCATGTTCTACGATATGCCTGGCAGTAAATCATAAAAAATCTGATTCCATTTCACTTTCCATGTCATAAAATTATTAGCCGTGAGTGACAACGTGAAAATATTGGAATAATGCCAAAGTCATTGACACGGTGTGAATTTTCACCTCTGACCTATTACGTAAATACCGGAAGATCCATTGTTGAAAAGTATGTTTTTTATTTGATAATTTGCGAATATAACATTCCTTTTCATTGGGTGTTTTATTTTTATTACTCAATCACCATTAATTTAAGAAATAAAAACAATAGAAATCAGTTGATTGATCTGGCGCTTTCGTTCGCTAAAGAGGCAAATGAGTATGTCGTTGCCAGGTATGATGGGTCCGCGAGTTGATTTGCTACCGACAAAATGACAGGTGCGAACTTAAAGATCTTTCAGGCATTTATTTATAATTGTAAAATGTTTTAATGTAGTAGTGGAGGGAATATTTTAACTGAAACCTTTAGTTTATAAATTATAGCTCGGTGGTCGAGAACGGAAGTCCGTTCGCGTGTTTCCAGGTCATGGTAACCGATGCGTAACCTGAACGACCGTTCGCGTGTTATTTCGTACCCTGGGGTCCACAAGCAAAAACGCGATTTTACGTACAATCAGGGGCCATAATTCAGGAAGTTACGTTCCGATATGCGCGAATATCGAAAGGAACCGAGATTTTTGGGTTATAATCATACATTAAACTAAATCGGATAAAAATTGTGACCTCTACAGTGTTCACAAGCTAAAAACGTGATTTTTCATACAATCAGGGGCCATAATCCATGAAGTTACAGTACGATACATGCCAATATCGAAAGGAACTGAGATCTTAGGGTGATAAACCTATATTTCAAGTTTCATTGAAATCGGATAAAAATTGTGACCTGTAGACTGTTCACAAACAATTGTGGACGGACGGACGGACAGGGACGACGACAATATACGTCCACATGAAAATGTGGGCATATAAAAAACACAAAGATAGGTTGCCAGGCAACAAAACATAGGCCCACAGTAGCTAAATCGTCCTGGCAGTCAACAAGACACATCCCCGGTGAGTTGCCGGCAGGGTATAAAAAAAAGTACACAGTTATTGAACATTATCTAGGCATCAAAATTATCAAAAGATAGGTTGCCAGGCAACGAAACATACGCCCATAGTGGCTAAATCATCCGAGCGGTCGACAAGGGGAGTCGCATATTTATTTCTTTGTAGGTAATTGGGGGCCTTTACAAGACAGTTCCATACAGATTAGATTATAATTTTTGCCGTTCACAAGGTTCTACAAATTGAAACAAGGGTCTCAACTCTGGAAGTAATCTACAGAAATTGTTAAAATTTGACAGGCTTTTTCGTTTCACAAATTTAAATGATGCATATAAATTTCATACATATCGGATGATAACTTTCATCAATCAGGCATTAACAAGGTTGAACAAAGTTAAACAAGGGCAATAACTCTAGAAGTAATAAACGGAAATTGCTGAAATCTAATAGGATTCTTCTCTTTACTAATTTAAATGACGCGTGTAAATTTCATACAGATCGGCAGATAACTTTTGATGTTAGAGAATTCAGAAAGTTCAATAAAGTGAAACAAGGTCCATAACTCTAGACGTAATAAACGGAGGCAGACCACCATTAATTTCCCCATTGACTTCAATGTTAATTCTGGCCTCTTTGCCCACCTCCAACTTTTCCCCAAATTTTCGTTGGGCTGAATGCTTTTCACTACAGACAGAGGAACAAATGGTCATGTCTTTGCACTAAAATTTGTATGAGGTTGACCACCAAAATTTTGAGATACACAAACTTGAAGAAGCATACTAAAAACATGCAACTAGTTGCCATACATATCGCCGTAGCTAACCTGATAACCCTCTTATCCTTCCGCCTCAAAATCATGAATATTTACCAAAACCTGGCAGAAAATGTTAATTCAAACCCTCTTCGTCCATTCTAGACCAAAAAATCAACACAAATGGGCATGCAAAAGGGGAGAAAAGAGAGAGAGAGAGAATTGCTATAAATAGACGAACTACAATTCGTGGGTACCGAGATGATGAAATTTAATGGTGGTCTGCCTCCTATATGGTTTTATAAGTTCATATATCATCAAAATTCTTTTCTTTATAGCTTCACATTTATTTTTGCAACATTATTATAATACAGAATCAGAAAAAAATAATTACTGCAGAAATGGTGACCCTTTAAAGTTATGTAGTGTTTTGTATACCGGATTGCAGCTCAGGTCCATGGGCCTTTTGTTCTAGAATTGAAGATTCTTTCTTAATTTTGTCGAAATGTGAGTTCTGCGAAAAGATTTAAAGAGTTTCAGACAAGTCACATCAAAAATATTCAAAATATTGGAATATTTTTCAAAAATTGACTTTCTTTTACCTTTTTCTACAAAATGGTCCATTTTTGACACTTTGTATGCCACAAATCCCACTTGTGTCCACATTAGTAATATTGTTGATGGAATATGGCTAAAAGCCATGTTCTTCTATCCCTGGCTTATATACATACATATAAGCACAGTTTGTTATAAGAAGTATGAATTATTTATCAAAATATGGATTGATAAATGTAAAATAAATGCTGTATTTAGGTGACAACCAGCCACTCTAATAAAAGGGTCGCAAAGCACTATTTTTTTTTAAAAAATGGGAATATTTCAGTTTATAAAATACTTTAACAATCAGAGGTATCCTTGAAATTACATAGTGTAAATATTATGTGGAAGCAAGTTGTTTTAATCTTTACATCAATGTCCTGACAAAATGAGATGGAAAAAGGGAGTTCTGACATAATTCAAAGCATAAGAGGGGTATGAAAAGGCTATTAATTAATATTTTATTGCCCTGTAAGTGCCACATTTTCAAAGATCACCACAAATAATAGATTTACATTCAAAATGTAAAACATTAAGCTGCAAAAAACACATCTACAACATATCCATTTTGGGGTGTGGACTCATTTGGAAGAAATGTCATAGGATTACATGTTTGACCATAAACAAAAAGTCTTAGAAATCCTTGAAATCTTATATGTAACTATTTGTTTGTGTCAAATAAAATGCTCGGTTACAATTCAAGCACAAAATCAGATTACTGCTAATTTGGAGTCAACAAATGTTCAATTGAATATCCAAATATCATCTTCAAGAAAAGGGGTGGGGTGGGGAGGGTGAGCCAGTCTAAATGAAATGAAGACAGAGAAATTTCCCTGCAAACACATAGATTTTACTTTCTCGAGAAGGGAAATGCAACAATTTCAGGTTTTGAAAGATTAAAATTGTGTTAAGCCTGAGGAAAACAGCAGCAAAATGCAGTTCACTCATGTTTTGAAAATTCTAACACACCTAAGCAGAACATAATTAGACTAAATTTCTTAATTTTTAAATTTTTGACAAACACATGAATACTTTTTCAATATCTGACAAACACATGGATCCTTGCCAAGTTATTTAACAATGAAAATAAAGACATGCAAGACATTTTGGTTCATTTTACAACAGATGAATAATTAAAATTTTGACAGCAATATTGGGGGTAATCTGAAGAATT